TTAAAAATATATGTATGTAATATCTCAATTCAATTCTTAGTTATAATATATAAATGAATATATACACATACATATATACATACATAATATAATGTTCCAAGAATAAAATTTTATTATTATATGGTAAGTGCTTATATGTATATGTCCATATATATATTGGGGTTTTTTTTTTAACTACTTTCTTGAGTATTTTCTATTCCCAATGGAAATCTCTTAGAAAAAACAGAGTTCATCGAAATTGACTTTTAGGGTCAAATGCCTTTGGATCTTGTATAAGGTCAAGCACCTTATCTAATGTGAGCATTAATATAAGACCAAAAAGCCTCTAATATTAGATGAAATAGTTTCAAAGGGCCCAAAAGAAAGGAGCAAGTACTAGTAATTTATTCTGGTAAAGATGGATGATGTTTGTAAAGCAAAAGAGATTTATTGACTTATTAATTGATTAGATTTATTGGTTTGGAATGATTTTTTACCCAAGAAGCATTCACGAATGTGCCACAAGTACAATCGGAGAAAATGCAGCGTCTGCAGCCACGACGGAGCGTGAGCTCAGCAGGCAGGTGCGAGGGAAGAGGATTTAACGAAGAAGGATGATTTTTGCAGCAGAAATATATTACACAGCACAGCGCTGTTCTGCGTCAGTAATGAGGACTAACCAAGACGGGATGAGACTTAGAAGAGCAAATGATGCCTGCGGTGTGAATACAGTTAGAAAGGAAAAAGCACCATGTAATTATAACTGTTTTATTTTCCCCAACTGAGGAGTATAACAGAACAAACATAGGTGAATGGAGAGGAAGTCACACAAAATAAGCAAAATCAACAATACATTTCAGTTTGAATAGATATCCAAATAGCACACATTTACGTTATCAATGAATAAAGCAATTTGATTTACAAATAACATAAAATGTATTTTATATCAAGTAGAGTTGACTGAGAAGAGTTTACAGTAGCAAAAAAGAGCGGATTCTGGAAAAGCAATTCAGTAGAAAGGTACTGAATAGCTCATAGGATCTCTGGAGATCTGAGGACCAGATGTGCAGGCCTCACAACCCACAGCTAACGCCCAAATGCCGCTGCAGCTCCGGTCAACGGAAGGCACACTGCACCGCCTCTGGGAGCCAGGCTCGCCGGTGGGAACAGCCGCTGGTGCAGCCTCCGACGAGACTGCCTCTGTGCTTCCTTCTGTTTTCATTCATGTACGATATTTTTCTTTCATTGTATTTTACATCTTGATTAATGGAAATAGTGATCTTCAGCTTGGTCACCTGAGGAACCTGCTTCCATTTGTTTTTGGAGAAGTCCGTTTCCTGGCTGGAGCTGCAGTCACTCCAGCTGCCTCTCCCCAGAAAGCAGGTTGTAATGTCTTTTCTTTAGGTCACTTGCTTCTTTCTGTTTATGGCACAAGTTTAGTCATGCGTTTATGCTGTAACTGCAGAGGCAGGGAAAGTAAGGGCAGAGTGTACTTGGCTTCCTCGGGAGACTGGGTAGGCCCCACTAGTTGGGAAATTCTTCAAACAGAGTATGAAGATTCAGATGTTGGCTGGACAAAAAGAATAGTAAATGGCCTTTAAAGAAAATAAGCAAATAGAACTAAAATACCCTGGAACATGACTATTCTTTATGTGAAAAACCTCATACATGAAGAAGCCCTGTGCTATGAAGATCACCATTATGCTGTCGGTTTACCATCATATTTATATACCTGAACGAAATTAGTAGTACGATCTGGATTTTTTAAGCAGATGGTTTAGCTAAGAGACCTAATTGACCACCTGCATTTAGTATATGTGCTGCCAAAACTAGCACTTGACCACTGGCATTTAAACCATGCATTAATTAAACTTTCATAACCATTATTACATTGCTTATTATTACCTGATTTGGGTATATTGGCCAAATCATTTTATTTACATGGCATTTTATTCCATGTAAATGCCACATACATGATTTTTTTTGCAATTTTCTTTGTAATTTTCACTCTCTAGTGTCTACCTTTTTTCCGACAGTAAGGAAACTCACATCTGTCCTACAGTACCATCATTCTTGCAGCATCCATTGTACCACTCTCTAATCAATAACACTTTAAAATGTGTTGATTAGAGAGTGGTGCCCTGGCTGGTGTGGCTCAGTTGGTTGGAACGTTGTGCCATACACTGAAGGGTGACAAGTTTGATTCCCAGTCAGGACACACGCCCAGGTAATGGGTTTGAATCCCGGTGGGGTATGTACATGAGGCAGTTGATAGATGTTTTTCTTGCATGGATGTTTCTCTCTCTCTCTCTCCCCTCCACCATCCTCTCTCTAAAAAAATCAATTTAAAAAATGTGTGTAATATGTTTGTTTCTACTTCTTGTTCTTCAATGAGACATTTCTGAACACCTTGGGACTTGACTATTTCTCTTATAATTGTGTTAAATATGCTCTGGGGGTGGGCAGCAACTAATAACTGCCCTATTGGTAAATCCAGTGGGATTTTCACAGTCCTCATCACTTTTGTTTATACTATCCAATTCATCCTGCGTACTTTCTTCCTTTGGCTTTTATGTTACCTCATCTTTATGTTTTCCCTCCTTCCTTCACACTCATTAAATTTTTTTTTTTTTTTTTTTTTTTACTTTTCCTTTTGCTCTCCTTCTAACTGAAATTATCCTCCCAAATTCTAATCTTTATCCTCTTCTCCATATCACATAGTCTCGTGGAGGAGTTTGTAGAGTCATTAACAGTCTTATCTAAGTGTGTGACTCTCCAGGAAACATCTTTAGTCTTAAACTCCCTCTCTGCTCCTCTTCCATTTCCACAAGCATTGCAAATGAAGTGTTTCGAAGGTCAATTTCTTCACTTTTCTCTCAAACTTGTTATTCCTGAGAACTTAGTATCATATATATTTTAATGCTGGAGAGAAGGCCAATTGCAGGTCAATGAAGGCTAATTCCAAACACCTATGGAAACTTAGTCTGATGGGAGCATCAGAGCCAGAATTGTGTGTTTGTGTGATTGTTATGTGTGTTAAATTTTCCATAGATACTAAACCTTTAAATGCTTGGAAGGGAACACAGAATGATAACAGTTTTAGAAAGGAAGATTAGGCTTATTATCTATCAGCAAGAACACAGCATTTTATAATTTGTATTTATATATAAAAATATTTTTTTATATTTTATAACTATAGTCTCCATTGTTCTTTTCTTCATCTTATCCATGAGCTAAATGGTAAAATTGGTACTCTGTATTTAAAGAATTTGCAGTTATAAAATTACAATGTTTCTAAATGTGAATGTCACATCTGAGTATTTTTGTAGCTGGTCAGCATTTTATGGTATTCAATTTATTCTGATTCTAGTAAATCCCCCAGTGTTTGTCTAGTGACAGTTCTCTTCATCATTTGTTTATCCCTTCAAAGTAACACACACACCACATGCAACGCAGACACACACCGTTGCCGTGGACATTTTTGCTGAGCACCATACTTTTGTTTGCCTTCTGACTGAAGAACTTAACACAATACTCCATATGCATTCAATCTACTAGAATGATTTGCAATCCTAGACATTTGCAATATTTTCAAGGTTTTTATAGGTTGGATCAGCCAAAGCATAACATTTCAGCCAGGACATAAATCTTGTAAAGCTAGCACTATCTAAAATAAGCAAAAGATAATAATTAAGCCCAACTTCAATTAAGATGTTGATCATCTTCTCTTTTAATTATTGCAAAAATCAACTAAAAAATTTCAAATATTCTATTTCTCAAAGCTTGTGGGGTTAGTCACTGAACTCTCTCAAATCTCAGCTACGGAGATGAAACATTAAAAATGGTCACTTGTGAGAACAAACAGTGTGCTGTTTCATTCCACTTGTATGACAAATTTTAGAGAGGCAAATATTTTAAGTGTATTTTCTTAATAATGAATATGAGAACAATGTCATTGTCACTAATATTGCAGAGCTGAAATTCTCACTCATTGATTAATAGTCATGTATAATTTATCAGATAAAATGTGCTGACATATGCACAGGGAATGATATTATGAATTTGATCAATTCTGTTAGATTTTTATGTGGAGAAGCTCACACTCCTCTGACAGCTAAAAACCAAGATCCTCCAGTGGGATTTGCATACTAGTTGTGGGTAAAGAAACTCAGCAGAAAGATGATGTACTGGTTATGCTTTTCATCTCTTTTTTATTTAGTTTCCCTGGAATAAATGAAGAAAGTTTGGATTCTAAATATATATTTTTTATTCTGCAAGAGAAACATAGTTTAGTATATTTAAACTTATGAGCAGAGGCTGATGGAACGTGAAAGGGTTATTTTCGTCTCTCTCCCTCTCCTTCTTTGAACACTAATGTGAGAGTCTGCACCACCCTACATATACATTAACAGTGCTCTTAGAATGTTGATAACATGAAAGGAAAAAGTGTGAAGTAAGTATTCTTGTCCCAACGCAGCCAAATTTCCACTCTACTCCCAGCAACGCCCACCGAAGTAACTTTGCACTTTTTCATTTTATGTCTTTTGTAGTTATTTCCTAATTCAAACATTGGGCATTTAACTCTATCAAGATATATTATTAAAACCACTGACTTTTGATAAAATATTGAAAATTTAGCCTCTTACATTATTCACATCTATTCACTGTGTCCTTTCTTCAAATTTTGCTAATTATATATTTCCTTTAAGCTATTCTAGTACTGAATTTTATGACTTTAAATATAATTAAACATCTATTTCTTGATCCAGAAACTTTAAATAGAACATCTAATGAAGCAGAATGCAGAATCTTCCAACTTATTCACCACCGAGCCACCATTTTTTGTAAATGTGGTGGGCAGAAAACATAATGTTCTCCCCAAATGCATCACCATTCTAATTTCTGAAACCTGCGGGGAAAGAGTATTAATTACCTTATCCATCAAAAGATGTGATTAAGATCAGGATCTTGAAGAAGGAATGTATGCCGGTCATTCAGGTGGATATAAATGTGATGTATTTTTTTATATGAAACGCTTCACAGATTCGCGCCATCCTTGCTCAGGGGCCTGCTAATCTTCTCTGTATCGTTCCAGGTTTAGTGTATGTGCTGCAAAGCGAGCACTGATGATATGTATTCATGTAAAGAGAGAATTAGACACACACGGAGCAGAAGACTGCTGGAAGACAGAAGCAGAGTTTGGAGTGGTGCAGCTATCGGCCAAGGAATGCCAACAAGCAACAAAAAGTCGAGGAAGCAAAAACGGGCTCTCACCCAGGACCTTTGAAAGAGTGTGGCCCTGTCAACATCTTGACTTCCGTTCTCCAAACGATAACAGAACACATGTCTGTTGTTTCAAAACCACAAGAATAAGTTGTTTTAAACTACATGTCTGTTGTTTTAAACCTGTTCTTTAAGCCACAGGAAACTATAAGTAATTTGTTATAAGTAATTTGTTATTCGTGGTCGTTTGTTACAAACAACCAGAGGACATGTAGTCAGTGAATAATGCCTTTGATTCTTTGTTGTCAAGGCTTATGATGTTTTTGCTCTTAAGTATAGCTGAGGCTTTTGGTTTGGTTTTATTTTGCTATTTTTATGTTAATTTTACAGATATAAATTATAGAATGTTTCAAATATTATGTAATATAAATATCATACACTAGGAAACAAGTGTCGCGCTCAGACTCCTGGAGAGAAAAGTGTCAGGATAAGTGATGAGGGAGGGAGTCGTGACTTGGGGTGGTGAACACAGTACCACGCACAGATGATGTGTTACAGAAGTGTACACTCGAAACCCATATAACTTTATTAACCAGTTGTAAGAACAGAAAACAGATTTTTCTTTTTTTATGAAGTACCTGGTAATTAAACACGGAGATTGCTGGTGTCTGCAACTTCAAACCGTCTTTCTACCCAACAGAAAGGGGCAGGAAGGAATATTAGAATTAATAGAAAATATTAGAAAAGTAAGAAAACTAATCATAGTGGGACACTAGCCATAGTTATAAGAAATAGCAGTAATCATCCTTTCTTGTGTTCATTGTGATTGCTTTGTTTCGATTAAAGAGAAGCCCACTGCGTCCTGGCTGGGAGGCTGCGCCTCCAGAGTTTACCTCGGGAGCGCTGTCCATTCTTGATCTGAGGACAAGGGGGTTCCCTAACGTCATGGAAATTAACAACCTGATTGTCAGAACACTGGACCCATGACAGCAACTCACTGACAACCAGCCCTGGCCCACGTTCCTTCTCTCCTTTTCCCCGGGCGTATTTTACAGGCTAAAGAAGAGATGATAGGAAACTCCCCTGGCACATCTGCCCTTTCCTCCCCAAAGCCCCCGATAAAAGAGCAGCTCACTGTTTCTGCCCTGCCCTTGTATTGCCAGTCAGTGCTTGGGTCCCGTCCTGGCTGCGGGGAAAGTTAATACGTTTCCTCCCTTTTCTCTCTTCTCTCAGTTGTGAATTCTTTCACAAGCCCGTGTCACCAGCCTAAACAGAACCTAACACCAATGTAACCCAATACAGTCAATAAAAAATTTAGAGTACTTGAAGAATGTTTAAAAATCATTTTTTTTTGTTTATTCACTCTACCAATTACTAAAAATCACTTCATATTTTAATTTATTTTGTATTTATACTATGAATTTATTATATAGTTTTTTTCTCTTTCTGCATCATTGTCTTCTCTTTTCATTTACTAAATAAGCACTTCTTTTACCACATTAATCATGCAACTTAGGTAATAAAGTCCACTTTATGACCAAAGACACTCTTCTTAGAATCCTTTAATATCTTGTTCTGGATTAGATTGACTGCTCTCTTCCAGACTTTCTGTGCCCATTCTTGGGTTCCTTATACCGATTCCTACCTCATATTTTTCTTATTGTTCTGGCCTATTTTATGTTTTCTGATATTTTTTATCAAATAATTTTTTTAGAAACACTTGAATGTTTATTATCTATATCCAGCTTCACCAGTGGAATATTTGTTTGGCTTTCTATTTAATTCTGGATTTAAAATTATTCTTATTAATAATTTATAAACTTTTTCTATTAACCCTTAGGATTTAAATGATGAAAATTTTGACATATATTATCTGCGGCCTTAGGCTTTTTCCTTATTTGTGGCCAAGTAATTAATATCCTTTCTTTTCCTATCTGTGGAAGATTGTAAGGGGTTATTTGGGAGGAAGGGAAGCTTATTTGTCTCCATTATTTAGTATTTTAAATATCATAGGTCTATATCTAGAAATGCAACTTTATTTATTTCTTCAGCCTTTCTTCATCTTTGAGAAATTTTCTTTCATTATTTTTTTAAACTCCTTATTTTCTCTTTCCTTGAAATCTCTATTTTATAGAAGTTAACATTCTAGATTAATTCTATAAGTGTTTTAAATTTTTGTCTCATTTTTCATAACATAACAGACTGCCTAAATTTTATAACCCGTCTGTTCCATTGACTGAATTAATTCAAGTGGTGAAACCAATCAGAGGAACGTTGGGCTAAGACTTGAATGGCTACTGTCTACACACTGGATCTCAGGATAGTCGTATGTATATGGATTGCTATTCAGCAGATAGGACTGGGACTAGAGAGTGACGGGTTGAGAGTCGAATCACGAAATCCATGGCAATCCATAGAATTAAGAAAAGCCAATATGGTTAGTTAAAGCTTAAAAAATGTAAAGCAATTTACTTCAAAGTGTGGTCTGTAGTCCTCTTAGGACCTTAATCAAAGTGTTTGGGTCATTTCTTTGGTGCTTAAAAGAAAATTATGAATTCTATAATTTCATGTTTTTGTATAATAGGATATTTGCTAATGATTTACTAAATATTTTGGGAAATTTTGGTATGCATCAACCAATATTAGCAGGTGGTCAGTATTCAATAATTTTGTAATTCCTGAGAAACAGTATACCTCCTTTTAGTAAAGTGACTCCCCTTCTCTGAGGAGATTATGTGCGGAATGCCATGTGATCAATCAAACACTCCACAGGCCCCTCACACTACTCTTTCCGAGGCCCTGTGGGAAAAAGGCAGGCCCTAATTGAAATATGAGTTTATTCTGTCAGAATCAATGCTGGCCCCTTCAAACAGGGTATATCAATGTCAGCTCAGATGAACAATCCTCAAAATGTATGAAAATTCCCTTTCTCCAGTGTATAAATAATTGCTTCGGTAAATGGTATTAATCTATTTAGAGAATAATGTGTACTTGCCATCTGTTGTGGGTTCCTTCCTCCCAGGGATTGGGCCCCTGCTTCAGTCAGTGGTTCCACATTAAAAATCAGCTCAGGTCTGTAACTGGGGTAGAGACTGTGGCTTTTTACTATGGTAAATACTTTCAGTTTCTTGGTCATTCACTTTTGCTAGATGTCCATCTATTTTGTACCTCTGGACAGGTTTTCAGTTAACTTTTTTTTTTGGTACGTGCCCCTAGCGAGAACCGAACCCAGGACTCGCTGGTCCGCAGGCCAACGCTCCAAACGCTGAGCCAAACTGGCCAGGGCTTCAGTTAACATTTTTATAACACTTTGCTGATCAGACTTCTTGACCTCCCCTCTGACTTCATTAGAATAACTGTATTCACCTGAGTTCTATCTTCAGCCTCATTGTTTCAGGGTCCTATCATTTGTCTCTTCAGTGAGACAAGTTCTTTAATCACCTCCCCACCATCACCCTTTGTGTGCAGAGAAGAGCCATTACAAAGGAGTGGTGCTGGTGACCTTCTCCGTGCAGCACTTCTTATAGCCTTTATACATGGCCTATGCTCCAGACCATCAGTGGGGTGTAATATTTGATGGCTTCACAGTCTTACATAGTATATGTACTCTAACCCTCTCAATTTTCCAATCCTTTTAAAAATATCTTTCTATCATGGCAATTCTTATATTTCAATTTAGCATGGTCCATCACTCTTCCACACTTCTAGCAGACAGCCTAGAAATACATTTATATCATCTCCTGGGATCTTCATTCCATGTCAGTGTCATATTTTTTCCATCAGGGTCCTGAACTTGACACAGAAGACCTGTTAGTTGAGAGTTTTGTCTGGAGCTTGGCTATACTGATCAGCTTAGCCTCCTGTATCATGGAACTGTATGCTAAGATAGAGTCTCTCTGGCTTTCACCCTTGCTTTCAATCAGTGATCAATTTTTCTTGACATTTTGTTATTTCTCCAGAGTGCCAACCAACTGAATTTAATGACATTAATAAAGTCACTTAATTCCTTTGTACTTATAATTTCTACTAACCCTATGTTTCTCAAATACCTTCTACATTGTGCCAGATAGGTCAATTGTGTCTTCCGAATTTACCACTGGTAAAATTTAAAGTTTATCTGTTGGTCTACAACTTGTATCAGGAACTGACATAATGATGGAATCCATGATGGAATCTCATTGCCAGCCAGACTACAAGAGATCTAGCTCCAGAATCCACCTGCATGCCTGCTTTCCCAGATCACTCCTCTTACCAACTGCCTCAAGTTACATTCCCTAGAAAGCTGATTCGGAGGTGGAGTTTAGGATACAGGATGTTGATTGGAGTTTCCCTGTGATTAACACCTTTAAAAAAAAAAAAGGAAAATAAAACAGAATTGGGCAAAGGTAGAAATTAAATTTCACTGAAGGCCCAATGACAAACTCATAGAATCACTGGAACTCTGAGACAAGAATTACCTTTTATGGTTAGTTCCCTTTGGGCTTACATGACCACACTTCTTTTTTAAAACCCGTGCATTAATCAGACTTTGGGTATGACTGCCCTGAAAAGAGTCATGGCCTTGGACAAGGTAGCTCTTGTTTCTGGGGCAGTGTCTGAGGAGGCTCGGAGCACTTCCAACAGCTGAGGCAACAAATCCATGCACAAAGGATGATCTTCACAGCATATCACAGTGTCTACCACATATCTGCTGCATGTGCATCACTCATGTCTACCCAACCCTGATTTAAAATCCTACCCCATTGAAATATTCCTGTGTATGCAGTAGAATTCTTATATTGTAGAAGTTTATTTGAGTCAGTTTAGAAAGCTCTTGAGTTGGTGTTGGTTTTAAATTGATTCAGGTACTGAGCTTCCAGTCAAGATGATGGTGCAGGACTTCCGGTCAAGATGGCGGGAGG